TATATATATTCTCCGAATTCTCCGAATTCTCCCACACCTTTCTCACCTTGCAAGTTTGAACTTACAGGTTGCAGTGCCCAGACTAGTTGCGCAAGGCATGACTTATCCGGAAAGGGTAAACCGACACAACATCAGTCGATTAAAACAAGCCATCATGAATGGGCCAGAGACTCATCCAGGAGCCACACACGTGGAGTACACATCAATTAGTAAGTATCCTTTACACTTCAATTAGTAAGTATCCTTGCGTACACATCAATTAGTAAGCATCCTTTACACATCAGTTAGTAAGTATCCTTGAGTACACATCAATTAGTAAGTGTCCTTTACACATCAATTAGTAAGTATCCTTGAGCACACTTCAATTAGTAAGCATCCTTTACACACCAATTAATAAGTATAATTGAGTACACATCAATTAGTGAGCATTCTTTACACATCAATTAGTAAGTATCCTTGAGTACACATCAATTAGTAAGCATCCTTTACACATCAATTAGTAAGCATCCTTGAGTACACATCAATTAGTGAGCATCCTTTACACATCAATTAGTAAGTATCCTTTACACGTCAGTTAGTAATCATCCTTGAGTACACATCAATTAGTAAGCATCCTTTACTCATCAATTAGTAAGTATCCTTGAGTACACATCAATTAGTAAGCATCCTTTACACTTCAGTTAGTAAGTATCCTTGAGTACACATCAATTAGTAAGCATCCTTTACACATCGATTAGTAAGTATCCTTGAGTACACATCAGTTAGTAAGTATCCTTTACATATCAATTAGTAAGCATCCTTTACACATCAATTAGTATGTATCCTTGAGTACACATCAATTAGTACGCATCCTTTACACATCAATTAGTAAGCATCCTTTACACATCAAATAGTAAGTATCTTTTACACATCAAATAGTAAGCATCCTTTACACATTAATTAATAAGTATCCTTTACACTTCAATTAGTAAGTATCCTTGAATACACATCAATTAGTAAGTATCCTTTACACTTCAATTAGTAAGTATCCTTGAGTACACATCAATTAGTAAATATCCTTTAGTACACATCAATTAGTAAGTATCCTTTACACTTCAATTAGTAAGTATCCTTGAGTACACATCAATTAGTAAATATCCTTTAGTACACATCAATTAGTAAGTATCCTTTACACATCAATTAGTAAGTATCCTTGAGTACACACCAATTAGTAAGCACCCTTGGCATATCCTTTACGTTGTACGGGGTGGATGTATGCGAGACGTAGATTGTCATGCATACACGAATAGGTTGTTTAGGTTTGCTAGGTGAGGCCTAAGAGTTGCCGGGGTTGTGGCTTGTGTGCAAATGATTGCATATGATATGATTTATACCAAATATGTCCATGTGCTTATATATATGTAGGCGACCATGTGCGTGGGTTATAGCTTGTGTGCAAATGATTACAAAACGTATCATTTGTGTGGTAGGATAGTGTGCGACGAGACGAGATTGGGATTGCTGAAACGTGAATGTGATTCACGTGTATGGGTAATCAATACCCGAGGTAGACAGCCACTATTCCATTTGCATTATAGATGACCCCTATATATATATATATATATATATTATATATATATATATATATATATATATATATATATATATATATATATATATATATATATATATATATATATATATATATATATATATATATATATATATATATATATATATATATATATATATATATATATAGTATATATAGTACTATATATATAGTATACGTATACTAGTACT